GGGGCTGGTAGGCACTGCCGGTAGCACCTGTGCTGAGTTGCACATGGCCAATAAACAATGCTAGGAATCGGTAGATCATTACCAACCCCAAAACTTCGTGGCTAGGATTGTGTTCTGAAAGAGATTCTAGTAAGTTCCACTAACAGAAAGGATCGCCCAGCGGAGTCTAAGGTTATTTTGACCAAGTGGAGTGTAGACGACTGTAGCGTGTTGGCACCGGAGTGAAAACGAGCAGGCCGACGGAGCAACACGCTTATGTCGGCAGCCCGCGTTGAATGAAGTCGAACGGCATTTGTCACGTTCGCTTCAGACGAAACATTGACGTTCGATCAGCGGAAAGATATAAAGCCGATGAGGATGTTTAGAGCAGTATGTATCGTGAGATTCGTTCATATGAATTGCTTCTCGCACAGGCCGTCGGAGGTGAACGACTCGAAGGCTCGCCTTGCACGGAATGAAAAGTGAGAAGAATTCAATGGATCTCTGTAAAATGGGCAGAGATCCATTGAATTCTCCCCATTTCCATCCATAGTGTCTGAAACGGAGATACAGTAAAGGCAAATGGCGTCGTACAAATGCATGGACATACGGTCGTAACTTATGGTTGGACCGGTATTAGCCATATCCAAAGGTCATTCATTCCTCTTAAATCGATCAGTTGCTGCCCGACTCGTCCGCAGAGAAAAGAACTCCGATTTCTACCCTCTACAAGCTATTGTACAGGCCGAATACGCAGTAAGACGTCGCTACTGCCTACTTCGCCGCGTCCTGTCGAGATCGCTGTCTTTTCTATCGAATATTCCTTACACAACACAAAGTCGTACATTCAAGACGGAAGAGGGCGAAGGTGTTATGGTGGCAAGTGGTTTGCTATCACACGTACGGTCACGGGTTCAAGTCCCGGTTCGATATCCTCCCAGACCAACCCAGCCTTCCATCCCTCCGGGATCGCTTAGTTGCTACCAAACTAGTCTGAGAGGAACAAAGCGATTTCAGAGTGATGTAGAAGAGGGAGAGAGAGATTTCGGTTACCTAGAGCACCTTTTTGGTCAGGGATCTTGCTTGACTGAGCTGCTCCATTCCATTTCTAGATCATTTGTGATTACTTCGTTTTCATGCGCTAGAGTATTAAGCTGCTGTCCAGTGCCCTAACTCTCCTCCATACTGCACCACAGGAGCATCTTTACTAACCGACTTACAGGCAGGGAGCCGACGGCTGACTGAAAGGTGTCTTTCGAACATTCTCTGAGTGATAGGTGCAGCTATATCGAAAAATGAAGGACCACTTCTAAAAAAGTTGTTCCCAATCCCCTTTCTTTTCATTTTCAAAACCCAATGACATATATACCTCGAATTCTTAGTATTTCTTAAGGAAATGATGAATATGGTAAACAGCTGGCTTTCAGACAATGTTGCGAGTACAAACACAGATGACAGATATAGGAAAATCTTCTTGCGACCCAAACCTACTGATAACAGAGAAGGATACCAGTTTCACGGGAAGAATAGAAGAGTGAGTTTGATTTGCTTTCCACAACATTAGTTCCTCGCAACTGTATATTGATGAAACACTTAAAATCAAAATGAGAGAAACCACAGTGAGGAGCGCTTCCAGACGGGTAACGGAACTTCTCCCCTATCGCGGCATTCTCCCTTGCGGCATGCGGCAAATGCCACTGCAATTACCGTACTCACCCCGCCTCNTGTTTCTTTTTCGTTTTCATGTTTATTAGACTTAATTAATTAAAATAACTCCTCTTATGTAAGCGGCGATCAAGACTGCGTTGAAATTGAAGAAAGCGGTCAGCCAATTCAAATAATCAAAGGACTCCCTATCTCACAAATTGCGCGCTCCTCTTCCATCGCAATCCTGCGATACGCGGCGGGTGCGGCGTGTGCGTCGCCGTGTCAAGGGAGAAGTTCCCGGACCCCTTTCAGACAGAAGCGATGGGCGTTGAGCGCGGAGCGTCGAGGGCGCATTACTGTCCGCGGCACCGCTGACCGTCTCTGTGCTGAAGCATGTTATTTCCCGAGCAAAGCTACGCAGAGCTCTTTCATGGTGACGTTTTCCTTACATTACACCATAGTGGTCAAAAAGTCAAAAGGTCAAAATATAAAATACACATACAAAAAATGGAGAGAATTAAGAAACACAATCAATAAAAACTTGATCGAAAACCATATACTCCGACTCGTGCAGTATCGATTGACTAGTGACGTTTTAAAGCGTGCGCTTGACGCTCAACGTTTTAGGGTGTGGTGCGATTCACGCGTCAATATAATGAGGTCATCAGATGAGACGCGTTATAAAATCATGCCTACCATCATAATGGGAGAAATAAGAACTTATAAAACATAAGTAAAAAAAAGACCATCTATGAACGTTTACAGAAGGATTGAGTTTTCTAGGATCAAAAAACCTAAAGTTATTCTTATTTTGGACGTTTGACTAGTAAATTGTTGACCTATGAAGTGAAATCTCAATCTCGAAGGGGCTTCATTGCCATAGTAAAGAGATTTGCAGTATGGTCCATCTTAACAGAAGGGTACTAAAGCGATGCTTCGTGCGCGAAGAGCTCTAATGGGGTCACGTGTGAATCGCGCGCCTCCCAACGTTTTACTATGAGAGATATCAAGGCTTGCGATCAGAAGCAGCTAGCGTGGCTCATCGTAGAGATAGAAGGATCACACCAGGATCATGGACAAGACATATAAACGCTTAATATTGAGGAACTTATGAATTGTTACTGAATCTCAGAAAAAAAGGGCAGAGCTCTTTGTGTGACATCTCAACAGTGTCTTCCAGGAGAGGACCATTCCATACTCAGTTTCGGAGAGATTCTACCAGCGGTCTTATATAAGTTGTAAGACAGTAGAAGTCCTAGGAAAGTGTTTCGCAGTGATAAATTCCGTATTAAAGTCACCGTATTATTCGAGTCCAATTGAATGACTGATTTGAAGATAAATGAATTGACTGAGTGAACCTTAGTGTTGGGAAGCTTTCCCAAATACTTATATAAACAAACAAATAAAACAACAAGCAAACAACAATAAAATGAACTAAGAGACGATCAAAACTAGATCAAGGTAGGAATTCGCAACGAAGAAATGGTCAAGCAAACCTCTGGAAAAAGCAGTCGGGTTTTAATGGGCTTTAGAGGGTTCGAGCGTATCATGCTTGAGGGTAAGGCGTTGCGCCGATGCTCGATGCGATGTTTTACGACCTCCCGAGAAAACCGTACTAAGTTTCCTCGAGATAAGTGAAAGCACGCGTTTTAGGAACAGCACTTATTGTTATTGATTGTTTACTTCCGATCTTCACAAAGAATAAAAATTCCATCACACCAGCAACAGAATTGGAAGCATTCGAAATAAGTTTTGGTTTCCGGTGAAGCGAACGTTCCTTTAGCTCCTTTTTTCCTACATAATTCAAAGTGCTTACTTAGCTAGACGTTTTCTTCGATGACGGCCTCATCTGGTTGGCGTCGGATAGTAATTGGTGTTTATTCATTCAGCAGCAGCGTTCGGCTTTTTGTTCTTCTTGACAACTCTCGTCAGATCTCTTTCTTTACTGTAGGAGGTTAGAGTAATAATCGCTCTTGGATGCTCCTTCTCGCTATAGAATTGGGAGTTTCGATAGCAATCGTGATTATGATTGCAATAGTGCAACTGCGACACAGTAGATGTTCTCAAAGCAATTCAATCTGAAGTATGACGTGGAAGGTGTTTCGGCTCACCAAGACTAGAAGCGAGGTACACCTGAAGCTGTTGAAGGAAGCAGCTGGCAAAAGCTAGAACTATGTAGACCAATTCCAAACGAATGGCCAGTAGGCAAGTGTCGACCAACGTTAGAAAAAAAGTAATGTTGTCTGACCATGATATGCATTCCTTTCGAGATATTACGGCGATAAAAATCTCGACGAAAGGTTGATCTTTGATGTTTCAACAAGTGCGACAGCGTTTCTGATCTTTGACCGTCGGATCGATGCTAGAAATGTTGTAGTTGACGACATGGCCATTTATTTGGGCAACATCGGGATCTATTCATATACGACGATTTTGATTTTGCTGTCATCATACCAGGAAAGAGAAGTTCTCCAGTGGCATCCGGCCCACTATCACGCACGCATGGAAAAACTGGGAATCGAATTCAGAATCGATATCCGCCCGAGCTAATCAAGCGCCTTCCATAAAGCCGGGGTCGACTGATCATTGCCAGTTTCAATAAACAATGACTTGTACATTGGCTAGGTTCCTTGAGGACGAGTGACTTCTGACTTTGCTGTTAACATAGCAGACAAGGGAAGAGAGGTTACGGTTGCACGTGGCGCACTATCACACACGCATGATACGGAGAATCGAAAGCGGACCGATATCGGCCAAAGCTAATCAGGCCTTCAATAACTCCAGGGTCAGCTGTCAGACGCTATACTGGGTAAAACCACTGTCTTTACATGATCTACCTTTCAGAAGCCATTATGATTCAGTGCGTTATTACATTTCGGATCAATTCGGATGCTTATGCAGTATGTGGCTGAATACAGGCTGACAGGCTGAAAACAATGGTTTGAATAAAATGAATAGCAGTACGATATCAGGCATAGTCGACAGAAACGAGCGATCTGCTGTCAATCAATTCAGGGTCTTCGGTAGATCATATGCCTCGTATCGATCCGCCATTTCGGCACCGGGGCTACGCCTGGGGTGTTCCTAAAGAGTAAATGCCATCGTTTGCTTTCCGTCGTCTAGTGTTGTAGTAAATCGTTCAATGTATTCTCTTCATGGACTTATCTGAATTCCGAATAAGCACCGCTTCTCAGCCCTCCCTAGGTCAACTGGAATCCGACTATTCGACTTTTCGAGATTTGCAAAGTCAAATGCAACATACCAGAACAGTTGACAGACAACTCCACCATTGAAAAGCGCATAAAAATCTATTCGATGCTAGTGTGGTAGTACAAATATGTGAGCGAAGTCAGACTTTGGCAAAAACTGATGCCAAGCTGTTGGGAGAACGGCAGCGATAACAGTACTTCGGGTGCACATCATGAACTAAAATAAAGTGCCATGCATTAACTACTTCACATGAAGGATAAAGGAAAGCCTTGGGACCTTAATCCGATGATCAATTCCGTTCGATGCATGCGCCCCTGCATTCGACTCCATATAGAATCGCAGGGGCGTATTGAATGCGTATGTGGCCTATTCAATGACTTGTGGTGGCCAGTCGATGTACAAGTCAGAGCTTTTATCACCCCAGACGAGTCTGGTACCAATCAACCGACCCCGGAGGATTGAAAGGCTTGGTTGGCCTGGGCGGATCTCGATCTGGGATTCGAACCCGTGACCATATATGAGTGAAGTGTGCCACTTGAAACTATACCATTTCCGCCTTGAGTTCCATCTTAATGATTACTATGTCAGGATTTTTGTTCAACTTCAAAATGAATTGGCAGACGTTGACAAGGAAAACGTTCCTGATAACGTAAGATTTTATGTGCTCAAACTGCGCTTGTACCCTTTTTGACTTTATTCTTTGCAGACTGAACCCCATGCCGAAGTGAAAACTGAAGAAGCGAATGATGAAAATCTAGGGAAGTCTCGGTCGTCAATAAGAGATCGAGCTTTCAACTCCGTAATCAGTTTTTGTCGAGGAAAGCGAGCCATTCATTCCGAGGACCAAGGTTGGTACTTTTCTCTGTTAAATTCAAATGTTAGGAAGAGCATGCTGATAACAGGACTTGAGCGAAAAGAAAGTGAACAAACAGACGGACAAAAAAGACAAATTTTCCTTTGAACAGTTCTATACCAAAGCCAGAGGATTGTTCACAGCACGTGGCATTTGCTTATTGTTCGAAAAGTATTGCATTTCATTTAATTGCACATCTCTTTCAATTGCCTATGAAGTTTGAAATACCCTGGCATACAGAAATTTCTCCTAGCAACCAACCAAACGAAATTTCAAAGAATCAACCGCTGGGAGGTTAGCGAATTCTCTCTATTTCCGCTACT